GGCGCTGCTCCGGCCGCCACTCGAATGGGGTACCTCCGGCCTGGAGCGCGACTTCAGCCTCTCTTACAGTCGGGTGAGGGCTGGGGCTGGGTTACGGGACCCCTGACTCCGGTGGGGCCATGTACGCCCGAGTCTCGTTTCTGGGGGCGTTTGGAGACGTGGTGGGCACCCCCTGGAGGGGCGGGCGGCGGGGGCACGAACGGGCCTCTCGGTGGAGACTCGCTCACCCACGCTCTCCGGCCACCAGGGCACGGTCATCGTGGAGCGCTGGTGGAAGGTGCCCCTGGCCGGGGAGGGCCGGACGCCGCGCCTGCACCGGCGACACCGCGTCTACAAGCTGGTGGAGGACACGAAACACCGGCCCAAAGAGAACCTGGAGCTCATCCTCACGCAGTCGGTAGAGGGTAAGGCTGAGGCAGAAGCGCTATCTCAGGCTAGATCTGTTTGGCATCAACTTTTTCCTGCCCGTCCCCTTCAGCATTTTGCTGCCCTTTCCTACTCTGTGGAAAAGATCAGCCGTCAGTTTGAGAAGAGAAAGCCATAAAAAGTGCTGTGATTGTGATACTAGCCTCCTGCGTGGAAAATTCGAACAGGAATGCAGGAACATCCCTAAGTGTGTGGGGCAGAGGGCAGGAGGCGGAGAGGCCTATGTGCCGCAGATACTGAAATCCTGTGACAGAACAATGCTTCGTTTTGTACAGAGAACATTAAGTTTCTAAATCAGACCCTAAAGACACTAATTAGAAGTCTCTTAAATGTTGGTCCTAGTGGATGTTAACGTTCCTTCTAGAAGGGTAAGAACTGAGAGAATAAGAGGCGCTTCTTTCTGTGGTCATCTCCTCTGGGCATCCTAGCCAGTCTGATGCAGTGTCTCTGTTTGCTTTGGCAGAGCTTGGAGTGCGGGGTGACCTGGTTTCAGTGAAGAAATCTCTGGGCCGTAATCGACTACTTCCTCAAGGACTAGCTGTGTATGCGTCCCCTGAAAACAAGAAGTTGTTCGAAGAGGAGAAATTGGTGAGCTCAAAGAAAGACAGAGGGAGAACGAAAACCTTAAGATTTCCTAGCAACGTCCGTCCCTTCTCTGTTTATTTTGAAAATGAAGTAGGGACTGGAACAGGAGTCCAGAAACCTAACCCTATACCTAGTATAGTAAGAGTTTATTATTTATTATGGACTCATTTTTCTTTTTTTCATCTTTAACTTTCTTTTCTAGCTAAGACAAGAAGGAAAACTAGAAAAGATCCAGACCAAGGCAGGTGAGGCGGTGAGTAGAAACATAGAAAGTCTTCCTTTATTGATCATCTACAAGAGTCATCATCCTTTTCCTGAGAGGTTTCTTGATTTCCTTGAAGTCTCTTGATTGCAGACACAACGTAAGGAAAAGGGGAAGTGTTGTGGCTGCAATAACTGGTGTTGAGACCTGGGAAATCCTGGCCAGTTAGGTGAAGTGCTCTAGCTTACTAAGTGAGGCCCCAACCTGGAAGAGTGTGAGACAAAGGCTCTGCTTCGGTAATATTTACAGATAAGTTGGACAGATCGTAAATGTGCAAAAGTGATCAATAAACTTAAGACAGTAAATTATAAGAGTGATGTGGACCAAAATGGATAAGGGTGTTTAGAGAGGGCTTTTATCCAGATGGGACTGAATTAGGCCTTGAAGGATTAGGATTTGGATAGGCCAGGAGGGTATATTCGTAAGGGAGAGAAAGTATAAGAAGATAGTTAAAGCATGCTTTCACGTAGAAGGTGGAATAGTCTAGCTAGGCAGACGACTTGTATAGTATGATATTAGGAAACATGGCTGGAAAGGGGATTGGGGCAGGATTTACAAAACACTTGAATTCTCGGCTATTAAATTTTTATTTCATTCTATAAGCAAGGAGGAATCATTAATGTGGTAGGGATGGGAGTGAAGAGCCAAACGTGTTGGGTTAAAACAGTCTATGAATGTCATTACATCCTGAGATAAACCAGTGTCCCCAGTTTTTTTTTTAATCCTCACCTGAGGGTATGTTGTTTGTTTTAAATTGATTTTAGAGAAGAAGGGAGAGAGAAAGAAACATCAATCGGTTGCTTCCCATACATGCCCCAACTGGAGATCCAACTCGCAACCTAGGTATATGCCCTGACAGGGAATTGAACCCTCAACCTTTCGGTGTACGGGACATGCTCCAACCAACTGAGCTACCCGGGCAGGGCCAGTGGCCCCAATTGATGAAGGAACAGCCAGGTATAGGGGACATTCTCCTCCAAAGTGTCACAAAAACATCTTTCCACAATATCAGCCTTGAGACAAGAATGTTCGCTATCTTTTCCACTTATCTTTTCACCTGTCTTGGCTGTGAGACAGAAATTGTGCCCTTTTCCTGAGCTCTCGGACCTTGTACCTCTTGCTAACAAATTTCCTTTCCTTTTATTCCAACTCTAACGTAGTCCCTGTTTATAATTCTTCTCAGACAGTGAAATTTCTGAGAAGCTGTCACCTGGAGGTGGGGATGAAGAACAATGTCAAATGGGAGCTAAACCCTGAAATAGTTGCCCGCCATTTTCTCAAAAATGTGAGTGTTCCCAAACAGTACTATACACCACTGAGGGTGGAAGCTACCTCTGGGAAGGAGGCCCAGGATTGATCCCT